AAGGCCTCACACACAGTACACACTTAAGAAAGGGCAGTAGACCCTGTTTGACAGACAAATCTGGGCTTCGTGGACCAGGCCGCGCGAGGGAGGTGGTGCGCTCCCTATCTTAAGAGGCTTGCGAACAGAGCTCATTTGGGGTTCAAGGCCTCACGAAGGTTGGATGGGCTGGAGGCTCCTAAGATGCTCAGAGCTGGGCTCCTGCCAGTTTGTGGTATTGGGCCCCCCCAAGATTTCGGTCATGGCCTCGCACAATAAACAGGCCAGAGAATAAAAGGCTGCCCCACCTCTGCCTTCCAAAGGAGGTTTAAAGGTAGAACCGGCAAAGGAGAGGGGCTCAGGTTTCCTGTTGGGCCCCAATACAGTCAGGGCCGGACTGGAGAAAGGAGAGGAAAAGGGAGGAATCCAGGCTTGGGAAGGAGGTGAGGAAGGAGAAAGATTGGAGGGGGTGCGAGACGGGCCCAGTGGGGCTCAGAGTCTATGCCTTCCCTTCTTCCCTGTGTTCAAGGAGTACCCACAGGAGCCACACGGGCCTCTGGACCTTCCGAGGCTCTCTATGCTGGAAGCCCCGTGTTCAGCTTGCTGGGGAACGGTCCACCAGTCGGGACCCATAGCCCGCTGTCTGGGGCCTGCTGTCCTGGCTCCCAGGGCTGGGAGGGCGTGTCTCTCTCGCCTCACCCTAGTCCCGGCCCGATTTCCTCCCTGTAACACCATCTCCATTAAATGGTCATGGAGCTCTGACTTGAATGTTGCAAGTAATGGGCAACTCACTACCTGTCTTTAGTTGAAAACCGTTTCATTTGCTGCAGAGGGACTAACCTTTATTGAGATCTTGCTGAATGCTGGGTGCTTCATACCCTTGGTCTCTTATTTTTTTTTCTTTTCTTTTTTTTTTTTTTTTTTAGTGAACCCACAGTGTCATAGTAGTTTCAGGTGTAAAATATAGCGATTCAGCAATTCCTGCGTTACTCAGTGTGCATCATGCTAAGTGTGCCCTTAATCCCCGTCATGGACTATGGCTGTCCTCCATCCCCACCCCCATCCCCTCTGTAACCACCAGTTGTCTTTAGTTAAGAATCTGTTTCTCGCTTTTGTCTTTTTTGTCTTTGGTTTTTTTAAAGTCCACATATGAGTGTAATCGTATGGTATTTGTTTTGCTCACACTGACTAACTTCACTTGAAGTCATACTCTCTGATTCCAGCCACATTATTGCAAATGGCAATAGTTCATTCTTGTTCATGGCCGAGTGATATTCCATTGCACATATTTATTTTTCTTTATCTGTTCAGCTATTGATGGGCACTTGGGCTGCTTCCATAATTTGGCTCTTGTAAATACTGCTGCGGTAAATCCACTCACTCTTCTAGACCCCATCCCTGTCACCTCTGGAGACGAGGGGGGGAGCCTCAGAGAAGGGGAGCCAGCTGCTTGGGATTACATGGCAAGTGAGTTGTAGAGGGAAGGTCTGCCCCTTGGCGGTAGGAAGGAAGAGGAGCTTGCTCTCAAATTTCCCCCCAGTCTCAGCTCTGGTACCCAGCTTCTGCAGGAATAGGCTGGCCCCCTCATATGCCACCGGGTGCCTGGTGACACACAGGCCCTGTTTCCCACTGCATCTTAGCGTAGACTGTGTCCTCTGCCCCATGGCCAGCCACCCAACCCTCACTTCACCCCCTCCAGGAGCCTTTCCTGACTCCTGCTACCCTCAGGGGTCATTCATTGGGTGACGATTCTCCCTCCTACCTCCTCAGGGTGGAATGGAGGCACAGCACAAAGATGTGAGAAACGGAAAACAAAAAGGCAAGAAAATGTGGAGGGGGAAGGGAAGGATGAGACAGGAAGTGGGTGGCCCATGCCAGACACCCTCATGGCTGTCTCTGGCCCTGCCCTGCCAAGTCTCAGACCAGTATTTACTTGTCGGCCCTGCCACAGTCTGGGCTCAAAAACTGGCGAACACGGTGAGGAAGAACAGGGCCGTGAGGGTCTGCTTTTGAAACTTATGCGGGGAATTCAGGCCTCGGAGTCTAACCTGTCTTCACTTACTCGGATGAGGTCAGAGTCTCTGCAATAGCAATGCTTTGTCTTGCTTTTCCGTGGGGTGAGAGAGGGTGTGAACACCCACAAGCCAAGGAGAGAGGAAGGTGGAGGTGCTAGAGGAGAATCTCCTTATCCTTGGCACCCCTTCCAAAGCCGTAGAAAGATCTAGAAAGATTGGGAAGTGGAGTGTGTGAGGGAGGAGAGGCTGAGTTTCCTTGTTTATAGGCTGGTGGAGAGGGAGAGAGATCGGGGCCAGGAGGGACTCCAGGCCTGAGCACGGTGCCTGTCTGCCCAGGCTTCAGCCACCCTCCAAGGCAGCAGGGGACAGAGACCGAGGAGGGGCAAGCGTGTGCTTCAGTTGAAGGCTAGGCCAGGACTTGCTGGTTGTCTGTTTGGCCACAAAAGCTCAAACTGGCAACCTGGGCAGCTGGCCAGGCTCTGTTCATTTGTATGTGTGTCGAACTTTGACCTTACCCAGAAGGGGAGGCTGTCCTAGGTACCTTCTCAAAAGACCCCCAGAGCCTGTCACCCCTGCCTTCCTTACCTTCTGTCCCAGGGATGGGCTGCCTCTTGGCCTTCTAGGACCCTACAGTGAATAAGTGAGTCAGGCTATACCTGGCGATTGCTGGGGGCCTGTGAGAACTTGGGGGCCAGGGCAAACTCCTTCCCTCCACCCCAAACCCAGATTTCTCTGCAAAAGGACATCTGTCCAGAGAGACATAGGACTCAGGTTCAAGTGTTACCTGAATGAGTAATTTGGGATAAGGGTCTTCCTTTCTCACTCTGGGCCTCAGTTTCCTGGCCCTGGTCAGTTATTAGGCATCCATGTGCGGGGAAGGGGGGTGGGGGGCTGGGAATGGCCCCAGGAAGGGGAGGTCCCCGCACCTAAGACGAGGCAGCCCCTGGCCTTAAATCAGCGCTTCTTGGTACTGAGCGCAGCACCCATTTTCTCCTTCACTTTTCCCATTCGAGGCCAGGAAGATGTGATTGTCCTATTGTCTAGAGAAGTAAACTGAGGCCTAGGGGTGGGGACCCGCCCGGAGTGTCGGCGATTTCGAAAGAGTGTTGGGGTATCCCTGCCAGGGACCTCCCGGCCGAGGCCACTCCGCGACACTTCGTGGATGTGGTTGGAGCTGGGGGCTTATGGGGACCGGTGACCGCCAGTAACCCCGGCGGGTGTCGGCGCCGAATGGGTTAAGGGGCCTCGCCCGCGAGTAACCCCGGCCCCATTCAGTGCCGCGGGGTGAAACTAGAGCCCTAGCCGCCGTCGGGGGTGGGGCGGGGGCAGGGGCGGGGCCCTAGTGAGGCAGTGGCGCAGCCGCTGATTGGCCGCGCGCGCTCACCCCATGCCCGGCCCGCGGCCCGGGAGGCGGGGCCGGCGGGGGCGGGGCGCTCGCTGGGTTTTAAAGCGCGGCGGAGCCCCGACAGGTGAAGTCTGCGCCGCGCGGAGACCGGCAGGCCAGCCGGCGGGGCGCCCCGAAGGGGCGGCGGGCGCGAGTCGCGGAGCCATGGATTGCACGTTCGAAGGTATTTTTTTGGAGGACCCCCTCCCACCCCTTTATCACAGAGCCTCCACCTCCGCTGCGGGTTCACCGCCCCTGGTTTCCTCAGAGGGGGGCGTGTGTGTGCCGTGGCGGTGGAACTCCCAATAGGAAGAGCCAGTTCCTGCGGGGGCAGAGTGCAGTTCCCGGCTCTCACTGGAGTTGGTGGGCCACCCCCCTCCCCGTTTGTTACCCTCACCCAGGCGTTTGGAGCGAGAGGGGGGCTTTCCCACGTCCTCCAGGGAGGAGGCCTGCTGTCCCGTCTCCCAGCGCTCCCCCCCCCTCCCACGCCCGTGAGCCAAATCCCGGATCCCAGCCCTGGATTCAGTTTTTCTTTCAGGGCCTCAGTTTCCCCATCTGGCAGAGGGGCTCATGAGGTCTGGGGTGAGGGATGGAAAGCCCCGCAAGTGAAAACACTGTGTGCGTTGCCCACCTGCACGGACCCCCGCCGGCCCCCGGGGTGTTTCCATTGGAGGCGCTGGGGAGACTGAGCCTGGCACCCCACGCTATAGCCATAAGGAGGTCCCCTCCTGCAGGAACTTCCCTGCCAGGACACCTGTCGGTAAGAAGGAGGCAGGCAGCAGCGAGTCCCACTGTGGGCCAGCTTCCTGTCCTGCCATGAGGGGCTTCATCTTTTTTGTTGCATGGACGGGGGAAACTGAGGCCCCGCGAGAGGAGGCTGTTGGCCCAGGCCAGTAGGGTGAGCGGGCCAGGAGCTGAGGCTGGGGGCCCGTGGGGGTCCTGCAGCGCACTTTAACCCAGTGGGTGGCTGCCCCTGCTGGGCTAGAGGGCCCCAGCACAACACAGCCAGGCAGCTAGTCGAAGGCCAGCTGGGGGAGAGGCTGGGGCATGTGGCCGGGAGTGTGTCCCAGTCTGTGCGAGGAGGGAGTCAGGACAGAGCATTTGCTTTTATGGAGGGGAAACTGAAGCCTCCAGTGGCCTGGTCCCGAGGCTGCTTGGCTGCAGAGTTGGTCTGGGCTTGTGCCCAGAACATGCAGGGACACACTGGTTGGCACACATGTGGCCGGCAGCTGGCTCAGCCCCAAGCCTCGGTCTGTTCCACGGAGGAATGGGCTGGTGATGGCAGCTCTGAAGCCCGCGGTCCTGGGCCTAGAAAACCCCAGTGGTGCCTCAGCGTAGGTGTGGGGCAAGTTCACGGGCCTCGTGGGACCGGGTCCCTGTAGGGCTCTGACCTCGCAAGGGCTGTTGGAGACACACGAGGCACCAAGCATTGCTCCAGGTGTCACAGGTGCCCAGGCAGTGGCTGTGTGTCAGGGAGCACGGGCTCATGTGGGTGGCTTTCTGTTTCTGCATGGTTGCCCCACATGCACAGCTGTGTGGACAAGAGGTGTGAAATGTGCGATGCCCCGTACAGGGCCCCCCCTGCCCTACTGTCACTGACACAGCTTCTCTCCTTTCTCCAGACATGCTTCAGCTCATCAACAACCAAGACAGCGACTTCCCGGGACTGTTCGACCCACCCTATGCAGGGGGAAGGGCAGGGGGCACAGACCCCGCCAGTCCTGAGGCCAGCTCGCCGGGCAGCCTGTCCCCACCTCCTGCCGCCATGAGCTCCCCACTCGAAGGCTTCCTGGGGGGACCCAAGGCGACGCCTCCACCCTTGTCCCCTCCCCAGCCTGCACCCACCTCACTGAAGATGTACCCATCTGTGCCTGCCTTCTCCCCTGGGCCTGGTATCAAGGAGGAGCCAATGCCGCTGACTGTCCTGCAGCCCCCAGCCCCGCAGCCCCTGCCCGGATCCCTCTTGCCCCAGAGCTTTCTGGCCCCGGCCGCTCCACAGTTCACCCCTGCCCCCGTGTTGGGCTGTCCCAGCCCCACTGGGGGCTTCTCCACAGGTAAGGGAGCGTGTTGGGGGAGGGGACAGCAGGAGCACAGACAGGGAGGTCTGCTGCCATCTCAGCAGAGGAGTTGGCAGACTTTAGAAATTGGGCCTCTGACACCCCGTTACTAGCAGTGCTTGCATCCTTGCCATTGTTGGGTGAAGCGGGGGTGTCCCCATCCACGCCGCCCTGCCAGAGACAGATGCCCGGCAGGGAAGCTAGTACATTTGTGCTAGAGCCGCGGGCACGGGTTGCCCCCATAGGAAACAGGCCCCAGGGATGATGACTCATCCAAGGTCACAGGGTGATAGGGCCCTGAGAGGTAGGTTGAAAGTGGCTCAGGGCAGCCTGTGCCCGCAGCCCCAGCCTTTATCTCTGCAGGGACCCCTCCAGGGAACACCCCGCAGCCGCCGCTGGGCCTGCCGCTGGCTTCCCTGCCAGGGGTCCCGCCCGTCTCCTTGCACACCCAGGTCCAGAATGCGCCCCCCCAGCAGCTGTTGACAGCCACGGCCACCCCCACGGCTGCCCCTGGGACAACCACCGTGACCTCGCAGATCCAGCAGGTCCCGGTGAGGAGGGCCGGCCGGGTGTCAGGGCGGTGGCAGCCCCTGGTCCTACTGCCCGCTCTTGGCTGAGACGTCCCCTCTCCCAGGTCCTGCTGCAGCCCCACTTCATCAAGGCGGACTCTCTGTTCCTGACGACCATGAAGACAGACGTGGCAGCCACCGTGAAGGCGGCGGGTATCAGCTCCCTGGCCCCTGGCACAGCTGTGCAGACAGGGTCCTTGCAGGTGGGTGTTACGGGCGGGGCAGGAGGTCAAGGGGTCTGCGCATGTGCATGACTAGCTGGTGACCCGTACCCGGCCCTTTAGACCCTGGTGAGTGGAGGAACCATCCTGGCTACAGTGCCGCTGGTCATGGACACCGAGAAGCTGCCGATCAACCGGCTGGCAGCCGGCGGCAAGGCGCCCGTCTCGGCCCAGAGCCGTGGTGAGAAGCGCACTGCCCACAACGCGATTGAGAAACGCTACCGCTCCTCCATCAACGACAAAATCGTTGAGCTCAAGGACCTGGTGGTGGGCACTGAGGCGAAGGTATGGGCGGCGGCTTTCAGAGGCGCCCTCTGGGGTGACCCTGGGGAAGGAGGCGAGTGTAAGAAGAAGAAGGATTGGGCCTGAGCCTGGGCCGTGGGCTTTAGCCCCCTTGGGCCTGGCCAGTGCCAGTGATTCAGCTGTACTTCATGGAGTCTCCACTGTTGCCAGGGGCTAATCTAGGTACTGGGGACACGGCCGTGAACAGACAGACAAAAATCCTGCTGTCCAGGAACACGTTCTAGGAGGGCCGGTGGGGGGAGTGACGAGAAACAGGATAAAGAAGCGTTAGAGCACGCCAGATGGGGATAAGTGGTTTGGAGGAAAATAAAGGAGGAAGAGGGATGGTGAGAGTGGCACATCTAAACCACCTCACAAAGGTGACATTACATAAGCAAAGACCTAAAGAAAGGGAGGGAGTGAGGCATGAAAATGGCAATAATAATCATAGCAGTTAGCCAGATACTGTTGTGTGCGTTTTACGAATCAGGCCTTGCGCCCGTCCTGGGAGTTAGGTTCTACTAGGAGAAGAGCATTCCATGTAGAGGGAACAGCAAGTGCAAAGGTTCTGAGGCAGCAGTGTTGTAAAGCAGCACCACCCACCTCGCTCAGGTGCCTACTTGCCGGGCCTGACCGACCCCCGTGCTGTCTCTCTCCTACGCCCTGCAGCTGAATAAGTCTGCTGTCTTGCGCAAGGCCATCGATTACATCCGCTTCCTGCAACAGAGCAACCAGAAGCTCAAGCAGGAGAACCTGAGTCTGCGCACGGCTGCCCACAAAAGCAGTGAGTCCTGGCCTCACCCTTCCCTGGCTCTGCCCACCTCCCCCACCCCTGCTGCACCCCTGCGCGTCCCTTAAGCTCTAACCCTATAAGGGCTCTTAGCCCCTCCATTGGCCCCAACTTGGCCGTCAAGAGCTGGGCAGCCTCCTGGGTGCCCTCTGCACAGGGCCCCGGGCTGGCTTGGAGCGGGCACCCAGCCTTCGCGCCCAGCCCTGCTCCTTTCTGGCCTGCAGAGTGTCTGAAGGATCTGGTGGCGGCCTGTGCCAGTACGGGCAGCACAGACGTGCCCATGGAGTGTGTGAAGCATGAGGTGCTGGACACACTGAGCCCGCCGCCCTCGGACGCCGGCTCGCCCTCTCAGAACAGCCCCTTGTCCCTTGGCGGCAGGAGTGGTGGCAGTGGTGGCAGTGGCAGTGACTCGGAGCCCGACAGCCCAGTCTTTGAGGACAGCCAGGTTGGCTCCTGCCATCTTTCCCCCTTGCCTGTCTCTCCGTGTTAACATCTGAGCCCTGAGACTAGGTTAGGAAGAGGCCCCTAACATATCCCACCTCCCATTTTATAGACAGAAAAACTGAGACCTTTAGCCGTGTGGGGTCGCATGGTAAGGCTGGGTGGAGTGCTGATCCCTCCTTCCCTGTCCCATCCTCTCTGCGACACTCCTGCTCCCGCTCTGCCCTCACTGACACCCCCACCCCCACCCCCACCCCAGGTGAAGCCAGATCAGCTGCTGTCCCCTCACAGCCAGGGCATGCTGGACCGTTCCCGCCTGGCCCTGTGCACGCTGGTCTTCCTCTGTCTCTCCTGCAACCCCTTGGCCTCCCTGCTGGGCACGCGGGGTCTCCCCAGCCCCTCGGATGGCAGCGGCACCTACCACGGTCCTGGGCGCAGCACGCTGGGTACTGAGGGCCGAGGTAGGATGGGCTGGCGTGGGGATCTTGGGGAGAGAGGTGGGAAGAGACACTCGGGGGTATAGGCCTTGGCCCGTGGAGCTGCTGGGGTCTGGATTTCCAGGGCCATGTCTCCCCCACTCCTGTCTGCCCCCAGACAGCCCTGGCTGGGCCCCGTGGCTGCTGCCCCCGCTGGTCTGGCTGACCAACGGGCTGCTGGTGCTGGCCTCCTTGGCGCTCCTCTTCATCTACGGCGAGCCAGTCACACGGCCCCACTCAGGCCCCGCCGTGCACTTCTGGAGGCATCGCAAGCAGGCCGACCTGGACCTGGCCCGGGTAAGGGGCCGGGCGTGCAGGTGGGGGTGGGGCACAGGGCGGGGCCGGGACCTGGGCAGCGCTGGGTGCCGCCCCTCTTCCCTTCCCTGTCCTGGTGAATGGGCTCGTCCTCCCCACCCGTCTAGCCCTCAGACTCCCACGGAGCGGGGGACACTAGGGCCGCGGTGGGGGCCCCAAGGTGGCAGGATCCTTGGACAGGAGAGGCGGGCGTGCTCAGATTCCCTGACACCCGTTTTCTCACCCGGCAAACCCTCACCCCCAGGGCGACTTTGCCCAGGCCGCCCAGCAGCTGTGGCTGGCTTTGCGGGCGCTGGGCCGCCCACTGCCCACCTCCCACCTGGACCTGGCCTGTAGCCTGCTCTGGAACGTCATCCGCCACCTGCTGCAGCGCCTGTGGGTGGGCCGCTGGCTGGCCAGCCGCGCGGGGGGCCTGCAGAGGGACTGTGCCCTGCAGGCGGATGCCCGCACCAGCGCCCGAGACGCCGCGCTCGCCTACCACAAGCTGCACCAGCTGCACACCATGGGTATGAAGGGTGGGGCGCCGGGCCTGAGGGGCTCCCGCCGCCCCTGCACCGCACCCCTGCCTCATGTCCCGCCTGTTTCTCAGGAAAGTACACGGGAGGGCACCTGGCCGCCACCAACCTGGCGCTGAGTGCCCTGAACCTGGCCGAGTGCGCGGGCGATGCCGTGTCCCTGGCCACACTGGCTGAGATCTATGTGGCTGCTGCGCTGAGGGTCAAGACCAGTCTCCCGAGGGCTTTGCATTTTCTGACAGTGAGTGGGTGGCGGGCTGGTGGGGACGGGGTGGAGGGCCTGTCTCTGAGGCTCTGACCAGGGGCTGCACAGGAGTGGGCGGTCTGTTGTGCGTGGGCTCCAGGCCCAGCTGGGGTACGGGCTGAGGTCTGGGTTTGAGTCCCTGTCTGGGTCCAGTGTGACAGCCCAGCTCCCCTCCCCCCCCGCAGCGCTTCTTCCTGAGTAGCGCCCGCCAGGCCTGCCTGGCCCAGAGTGGCTCAGTGCCTCCTGCCATGCAGTGGCTGTGCCACCCTGTGGGCCACCGTTTCTTCGTGGATGGGGACTGGGCCGTGTGCAGTGCCCCGAGGGAGAGCCTGTACAGCTTGGCCGGCAACCCAGGTGCTGTCTCGCTCCTGTGCCCGCCCCCTGTCCTCCCACCCCATCCTGTGTCCCCATGCCCGTGACGCCTCCCCGTCTGTTGGTGCCAGGGAGGCTGAAGGACCAGGAGGACTGGGCCTGTCTCGGCGGGGGCTCTTCAGGAGCAAAAAGGCAGACAGGGATTTGGGGGCAGGTGGGTGATTTCGGGGGTGATCCCGTGTAAGACCATCGTGCAGTAAGGAGATCAGCCAGAAGGGAACAGAGCTGATTAAGGTGCATTATTCCATAGATTGCACTGGCCAAGGTGGGTTATCCTCTCCAGGGACAGGTGGGGGGATTTATCCACCAACTTTTCCCTGCCCACCTGCACGCCCAGGAAAGAGCCCTTTTGGTGGGGAGAGGTGGATGTGGGGGCCCTTGCTCCCAGCCCGCTCACCCACTCCTCCCCACAGTGGACCCCTTGGCCCAGGTGACTCAGCTCTTCCGCGAACATCTCTTGGAGCGAGCCCTGAATTGTGTGGCTCAGCCCAGTCCCAGCCCTGGATCAGCTGATGGGGACAGGTGAGAGTCCCTATGCTCCCCTGCAGGCAGGCGCCCTCCACAGTGAAGTCTGGGAGTGGCTGTGTCTCAGGCCCTGTGTGGGTGGCCAGAGCTGGGCTGCTGTCCGCCCGCCAGGTGGCCCCCAGCTGCATCTCGGTTCCTCCCTGGGTCTGTTTCTGGACCAGCAGGGAACGATGGCCGCGTGGTAGAGCCAGGACATCAGGCTGTGCTCTGGTGGGAGGTGAGGAGGGCTGGGGCCTTCCCGGGACCCACCCCGCCACCTGTGCTGACTGCCAGTCCTCTCTTCCGATGCAGGGAATTCTCAGATGCTCTTGGGTATCTGCAGCTGCTCAACAGCTGTTCCGATGCTGCCGGGGCCCCAGCCTGCAGCTTCTCCATCAGCTCCAGCATGGCCGGCACCGTCGGTGAGCCCCTAGGCCCCCTCCCCATGACTCCTAGCCCAGCCTCAGATGCAGCGTGGCTGAGTTTCAGGGCACCTTCCCTCCCTCACACCCCTGCTCCCTACAGGCACAGACCCCGTGGCCAAGTGGTGGGCCTCACTGACTGCCGTGGTGACCCACTGGCTGCGGCGCGATGAGGAGGCGGCCGAGCGGCTGTACCCGCTGGTGGAACACCTGCCCCGTGCCCTGCAGGAGTCCGAGTGAGTCCAGGCCCACGTCTCCCGGCCCCCCCGGCACCTGCTGCTCCCCCCAGCCTTTGTTCTGTGCGGTTGGGGTCACCGCCACTGCCGCCCTTTCTTCCCCGTGAGGCCAGAGCCGGGGCGGCGGAGAACTTAGTGAGGGCCTGGTCCTGGTCTAACCGTCAGTCCTCTGCCTTGGCCCCAACAGGAGACCCCTGCCCAGGGCGGCTCTGCACTCCTTCAAGGCTGCCCGGGCCCTCCTGGGCCGCGGGAAGGCAGAGTCTGGTCCGGCCAGCCTCACCGTCTGTGAGAAGGCCAGTGGGTACCTGCAGGACAGCCTGGCCACCACACCGGCTGGCAGCCCCATTGACAAGGTGAGGGTTGGTGCCGGGGGCCTGGCAGGTCTGCGGGGGGCCGTCCCTGCCTCTCCATTCCCGGGATGTTCTTCCTTGGGTTGCAGAAGACGGTGGTGGGGTTAGCCCAGCAGCACAGGACTGGAGGCCCTGCTAGCCTTGCTTTTCTGGCTGAGGCTTGGGTCCCTGGCAGAGTGGGCCCCGCCCTCAGGTTCCCCACTGGCAGGACGAGGGTTGGGGGGGGTGGTCTGGCAGAGCCCTCTTTGGAGGCTGCCCCTGCGGCAGGTGGCAGGTGTGGGGGCCTGGAGAGGCGGGCGGCCCCGCGGTGCATTGCTGTTGCATTGCACGTGAGTGAGGCGGGTGCAGTGCCTCGGCAGTGCAGCCCGGAGCCGGCCCCTGGCACCGCGGGCCCCCACCCTTCCCCTCCGAGAGCCGGAGCCCCACCCGTGACCCCTGCCCTGCCCACCACCCCCAGGCCATGCAGCTGCTCCTGTGTGACTTGCTCCTTGTGGCACGAACTAGCCTGTGGCGGCGGCAACAGCCGCCCGCGCCCACCCAGGCTTCGCAGGGCCCGGGCACTGGGGCCCAGGCCTCTGCCCTCGAACTGCGCGGCTTCCAGCGGGACCTGAGCGGCCTGCGGCGCCTGGCACAGAGCTTCCGGCCCGCCATGCGGAGGGTGAGTGCCCACGGGGCCGCGAAGCAGCAGGTGCGGGGAGAGCGGGGGCCTGGCCTGAACCCCGACTCTCCCGGCCCCCTTGCGCCTAGGTGTTCCTACACGAAGCCACGGCCCGGCTAATGGCAGGGGCCAGCCCCACGCGGACACACCAGCTCCTGGACCGCAGTCTGAGGAGGAGGACGGGCCCCTGCGGCAAAGGTGAGAGGGGCCCTGCCCTGGCAGGGGGCGGGTCCCGGCCCCGCCAGGTGCGGTGCTGGATGCGGAGGGAGACTGTGCCAGAGAGGCGGGGACCAAGGGACTTCGTGGGGCTTGCCTGATGGCGATATCCTACCTGCCAAATGCACTGTGGGCCACCGTCCTCTGGGATAGGTGACCGTGCATCCCTGTCTGAGTCCGTGGTACGGGACAGGCCCTGGGGAGGGGTCTGAGGCTCCACGTGTGCGCCTTGAAGCCTGCGGAGTGGGCGGCCCGTGGGGGCTCTGCCCCCCCCCAGCGCGGACGTGGCCCCGCCCCTGACGCGCGTGCGGTGTGCGCAGGCGCGGCGGCGGCGGCGGCGGCGGCGGCGGAGCTGGAGCCGCGGCCCACGCGGAGGGAGCACGCCGAGGCCTTGTTGCTGGCCTCCTGCTACCTGCCGCCGGGCTTCCTGTCGGCGCCGGGGCAGCGTGTGGGCATGCTGGCCGAGGCGGCGCGCACGCTTGAGAAGCTCGGCGATCGCCGTCTGCTGCACGACTGCCAGCAGATGCTCATGCGCCTGGGCGGCGGGACCACCGTCACCTCCAGCTAGACCCCCGCCGGCGGCCCCAGCGCCCCGGTATCCTTTGGCCCGTGTGCCGGGCCGGAGCCTCGACGGCCAAAGGCAGCGCCAGAGACCCGGTGTCTACATGGCCCACCCACGGACTGCACTGCCTCCTGGGGGGATGGGAGGCACTCGGGCTCTTGCTGCCTCTTGACCTGGGAGGCCAGAGAGGGCCACCCCACACCCCCCTACTGCGTCCGAACCCGAGGAGCGGCGGCCAGCGCGGTGCTGACCTCTGGTGGCCGATCAGGGAGTTGCAGGGGCCTGGGCGGCCCAGGTCCCTCCTGGCTCTGCAGGCACCCGGTGGCTTTTCCCTCTCCTGTCTCAGAGAGGCACAGTTCCCTGAGCTGAGGCGGGCCGGTTTGGCTTTCCCAGCTAGCATGGGGGCCCTGCTCCAAGGCGCCTCTCTGCCTTCTGGAGAGACTTGTACATAGTGTAGATCGGGCGCACCGGCCTCTGAGGCTCAAGTGTTAACTTTGTCTTTTTGCAAACTTTATTTTCATAGGTGAGAAGTTTTGTACAGAGAATAAAAAATGAAATTATTTATAATCCGGGTTCTGTTCTTCTGGGTCAGAAGGTGTGTGCTTTAGCTGAGAGAATAGCCGATCAGAGGGGGTCCTTTGGGTCTCCCCTCTTCCCCAGGCAGAGGTTTCCCGCTCTTATCTGCCACAAGGGACCGAAGTTTTCCCTTCGATGTGGGAGGCCTGTTGGTATGACCTCCCGGTGACCTGGATTCCACCAATTTATGTACCATTTATGTGCCACACCTTTGGACTCTCTCAACCCTTAATTTAACTTAAGGGCTGTTTCAGTCTCAGCTGCTCCTTCCCGCCTCGTTTCCACCCCTATCAGCTCTGGGGTGACTTGAGAGGACTCCGTGTCCTTAAGGACCTACCGTGATAGGAAGTACAGACTGGCGTCCCTATTTGGGGTGTGCGGTGCCCCCCCCCCATTTCTCTGTCTCTAGCGCTTGGGGGAGTCTTGCCACCCCATTGCAACCCGAGGCCCCCAGGCCGCGTGCAGTGTGTTCTGTTCCCAGCAGAACCCCAGAATCCTTGCCGTGTCCTCCGTTTGTGCCCCACTGAGCCTCCTTCTCCATTCCCCCCCACCCCCCAAGCCTGGCCCCTCTTCCAGCGGAATCTGGTTAGAATCCACGGGCTGCAGACTTCCAAAACAATCGTTGTATCTTTATTGACTTTTTTTTTTTCTGAATGCAATGACTGTTTTTTACTCTTAAGGAAAATAAACATCTTTTAGAAACAGCTCGATACACACAATCTTCAGTGTGAAGCAATATACTAATAAGAACACTAGTCGTCTTAACATTTACAGTCTTCATATATATTATATATATGTATATGTATACATATATATACACTATGTAACGAGGCCAGATATAATACACACGTTACCATTTTACAGTTATATGTACAGGAAGTTGCTAGTGCGGCCCCAGTCTGGGGGCTGCGTTAGGCCTATCGAAGCGTGGACAGAGCTGAGGACACGGACGGACAGGCGGACGGACTGGCAGGGACTGGCTTGGGCCGGTGGTGGCTGCGTGGGGAAGGGGGACATCGCTGTAGCCCCCTTCCCTGCGAGGGCCCCGTGCTGAGGGACGCACGGCGGCGGCGACACACGGGAGAAGCGAGCATGTTCCCAACATATATACATTCTATGTAACATATATATAGAGGGGTACACAGGTTTGTACACGAAATCTAGCGCTGTCTCTGCTCCCGTGCCGAGTGGGCGCTGCTGTCCCTGGAGACGGGTGGTCGTGCAGAGGGACAATCACGCATTCGCCGGAGGTGTGCTCTGGTCACCACTCCTTTCGTTCCCAGGTTGCGCTCCAGGGGTGGAGCAGAGGGATGTTAAGGGGACGAACAGAAGCCAAAGGGAGGCCCAGTCCCGCCCACACCCGGGGAGCCCGCATCTCCAGAGCATGGGTCCCGGACTCCCCCGCTCTGCCCAAACCGCACGAAAGTTTTGGCCAAGGCTGGGTGGGTGAAAAGGGCTCTAGGACGCAATTCGAAAGGTTCCTTCCAAAGCCTCGGCCTCCTCTCCCGCGGGCCTAGTCCTCTCCGGAAAGGTTTCGGCTCCCTCCCCACCCCAACCCCCCCGCCTCGGAGCCCAGAGCCGCCCTCGGCCACTTCCTGGGCCCTTTGGACCCCCCACTCCCACCCCCAGGGCGCCCAGCTGCAAGCCACGACCGGCTGCCGTGGCGGCAGCACCCACGTGGAATGTGTGCCACGTCGTCTTGGAACTACCAGGGGAGAAGCATGTCCCCAGGCTAGAGGGGTCTCCAATCCCCGCCGGAACCTGGGTGCCCTAAGGAGTCTGGCCGCTCCACGGGTTCCCTCTCTCCAAGCCTGGCCCGTGGGGTGTGGGCGGGTTCGCCCAGTGTCGTCCTGTTCCGGAAGCAGAAGGCTCCGGAACGCGTTTTCTTCCCAACCCGGGACCGCACGTTTCAGCCCTAAGGGCCAGATCCAAGATCCGGAATCCGGATCAAGGATCGGCTCTGGACCCGCGCTGGGAGCAGCTCAAAGGCCCGGGGGCTGCGCAGGCGGCTCCTCTCCTTCGGCGGCGGGCGGCCGGGCGGGCGTGGGCGGCTTCCCCCGCCGTTGGGGTGGATTACAACGGCAGCCTCTGCAGGAGAAGAGACGCCAAAGCGCCCGTTACTGCTGGTGGTGGACCAGTGCTCGGAGCTACTTCCTCCCAGCCCCGCCCCCGGCATGACCCCGCCCCCGCGCGAGACTCCGCCCCTGCCCGGCGCCCGCCCTGGGCTCCAGTCTCCTTTGGAGGCAGCGGGGTCCCCCTTAGGCCTTAACTTCTCTCTCCCCGCACCCTGCCGTCGTCACCTCCGCGCCCATCGTCCCGTGCCCCTGTGTGCCCCCTTCCTGTCCCCAACCTGGGATGGCCCCCTCCCTCAGGACCTGTCTCGTTTGAAGGCGGTCTTTCTGACCACCGTGCGCCAACCTGCCCCAAGGGCTGCGGATAAACCACCAATAAAAAAGTTTTGGAGGCGGGCAGGTGGGGGGCTAGGCCCTGCTGAGGGTCTGCAGGGCTGGGGGTGGGGAGGGGGGAGGGGCTCCCCTCCAGCCCGGACTCCTTCCAGGGAAGGCTTGTGGTCACCTACCTTATGTTTGGGACACTTCAAAGAAAAGTTCTCTTCGATGAATATGCAACCTGCCACCAAAGAGAAGTGTGGGCAGTTAGGATGGCCGCAGGGCCTGCCAGGGGCCAGGCGGGGAGGGGACCCAGCGCCCATGAGACCCCAGGCTACAGGGCTTCTTTGCAAACAGTAAAGCAGACCGGGCTTGAAATCCTCCCCGGTCTCAACCCCATCATGGCTGAGCTGGCCTCCATCTGCCTCCACCCCACGGGCCTGTGTGTTTTCTGTTCTCCCTGCACCGGAAGGCCTGCTTGTCGCTGGGGAAGGCTCCCCTGAGTCCCTATGGATGACAGATCCCCTGTGCCTGTCTCTCCCCCCCCCCCCCCGGCTCCCACCTCACTTCATTTGGCCACACTTGTCACTTCCTCCTACTGGTCTATGTATCGGTTACTTGCTTGCAAGCCACCTGCACAGGTGTGGCTCAGAGCAGGCACTCAGGATATGGGCTTGTCCCTGTGGGGGCCTCGAGGGGGAGGCAGACCTCCATCTGGGGGCAAGGGGAAGGCGGGACTGAGGTTTTGGGTCTGGGTGAATCCCAGCAGGCATTTGGGTGCCTTGGGCACTGCCCACCCTGGGGGGACGGAGAGGACTGTCCTGAGCATGGCCAGTTCCTGATGCCCAGGGGTGCACGGATATTGCAGCAAGTCGCCACTCCACTGCCTTATGCCACCTTGGAAGGCCCTGGCTTCTCCCCTAGGAGCCCCAATCACCACCCCTTAGTCCCCTTCTGGGCTCACCCCACCCCCCACCCCGCTGGCCATTGTTCTGAACAAACCCCAAACCCATAAATAGCCGGAGGCCAGAGCTGGCCAAGCAAGTCCTCTCCTTCCAGCACATTCCTCCTGCTCACGCTGTGGCTCTGTGCCGTGGCATCACGACAGCATGGTGGCTGGTAGACAGGGCGGGGAGGCGAGGGCAGATCTGCAGGCCTGAGAACAGGGTTGGGAAGGCTCCAGGCCTGTGGCTGTCTCCCCGTTTTTTCCGACCAACCACCGCCAGCTCTGGGGAGCCTCAGACCAAAAGCTGCTGTGAGGTCTGTGCACTTCGGGGCCGGCGGCTGGAATTGGATCATCAGTTTTTCCTCTTCCCTACGTGCTCAGATGAACCGGACACGGCGCCGGGACTGAACTCACACCATCCAAAGAGCACTGAGCTAAAGCCCCAGGCCCTCGTGTGTGGGGTCATCCCTGCCCCACATCCCGCCTCAGGGCATCAGGTCCTTGGGTCTCTGGAAGTGAAGGGCAGGAGGTCACCACTCCCCAGACCAGGGTGCAGCAGCTCCCCCCATCCACCCTGGGTGTGTGGCGGGGAACCACGGGAAGGAGCCAGGTCATCGATCCCTGCTGCCTCTCCTGGTGTCTGCACCTGGGGACCCGGGGACCCCGCTGACAGAGCGGCCCTGGTGCCTGAGTGTGGAAAGACTCAGACAGACCCATGGTGGGCTGGCTTCTGCCAGCGATTCTGAGTCACAGCCCCAGCCAGGTGCTCCTTAATGGGGTTGAAGGGACAGGGTTAGTGGGCCAGGGCAGAAGGGGACAGCCCTGGTGACCCAGACATCTGGAGAACCCTGTGGACCCCCCTTGGCAGACCCAGGGGTCGGGGAGGTGCAAGGTGCCAACAAGGGTGCAAGGCCTCCCCACCTCCCCCTCAGTTCCTCTGTGTCCCACCCGTCCCGCCTGCCCAGAGGTGCCATGGCCCGCCCTCCCTGCCGCCCCCCTCTGTGTCCCACCCGTCCCGCCTGCCCAGAGGTGCCATGGCCCGCCCTCCCTGCCGCCGGAGGCTCGCTGGTTCTCCCAGCTTCTCTGGCCTCTAGTACCCGGGGCTCCACCCCTCCTCGGCCAGCTGCGAAGTGGTGGTGCTCACGCCCGCCACACTGTCCCCTCCCGCACTCTGACGACCCCTTGGGCTGATGGCCGGTGAGCTTCTGTCCCGAGGGAAGCAGCCCCGTGTGGCAGACGGACAGATTGCCAGAAGGGCTCCAGGCCCCCCTCCACCCGTCCCTGCCCCTGTGCCACTATCTGTTGCAATGTGGCCCTGTCACTCTTCTCGGGCAGAGGAGGAATCCATCCTGTGAATCTGGACGGGCTGAGGGACTCGGTTTTGTCAACTGTGTGGTGCTGAGCCTGGCCTGCTGGGGCACGAGAGGCCACACGGAGCAGGGAGGAGCTGACCCGACCACAGCCCTCGAGGGCTCACCACGCCCTCGGCACAAAATCACGAGGGACTGGCGTTTAAGCCAGGAAGCTGGGCCCGGGAGGGCACACCCCCGTCCTGCCTCAGACCTCTCCCCTCCACGGTGGGGAAGCTGGATGGCAGGCTCCACACCCCCGTCGCCCCTCACCCTAAGGCCTGCGCACTCAGTGCCCGTGAAGTCTGT